GGCTTGTTTCCAGCCAGCACCTCTAACTCTATGGAAATAAGACTTCAGAGCTGCACCAGGACAACTAGTAGTGAATCTGTTCTCGTAAATACACCGTTTCCCAGAGTACCAGTTTTGTATTCTGTCTGCACTTAATCCATCTCTCCAGGAACTTGAGAAGCAGGCACGCAGGTTTTCTTTGGCTTTTCAAAAGGTTAACCTTTCATAACTATATGAAGAAATACAAAGACAAGATATTAAAAAATCTGTAATTTCTTTGCCGAGCTTCTGTCACCACTTTTGAGTGCTGTCAGTCTTCTAAGGGGAATATGAGTCTTCATCAGATGTATGGCTTCAGCTCCGAATCCTGGAGTACGTGCATGTGTTGTGTGCGTGCCTCTCGCTTCCATGGAGACTTCTTTTGTCTGGTCCCCATGGTTGAAAAGGAAAGCAGGGAGATTATAGCAAAGCTCAACTGAGTGTTGCTTTAGACAGATTACTAATGTTTGAGATTTGATTTTTAAAGCCAGCTGAGGTATGAGTACTGCAATTGCTTGTGCAATTATGGGGGAAACCTATCTTAAGAGATGTTGTTATAAAAACCTTCATCAACACCTTATTTTTGTTATGTTTCTGCTGAAGTTCTGTTACTTCGGACTCCCCCTTGCTGACAGCTGTAGCCAGGCTGTTTCTCAGCTGCTTGCAGGGACCTGTTGGGGTTTACCAGCTGTTCCCTCGCTGTGGGAGACAAGCAGCACACGTGTTAGAGAAGCTGGGTGACTCCAGGTGCTCCAGGGCTAACTAGGCTTACAGCAAATTCATTGGTCCAACCAGAATCTGTAAGTTGCATTAAAAACCTTTTTCCGATTGCCCCAGGATGATTACACAGAAAAACTCTAAGCCGCTTTCTAATTGGTTACTTATGCAGTTAATGAGTATAATGGATAGAGAATTAAGCCTAGTGAGGATGACAAACCTGTTGTTTTTCTTACCTAGCCAGGGTTCTGAACTAGCGTTGCAGGGAAGAGAGCTCGCTAATCATTTCAAGACTGAAGGCACTCCCGTTATGATTGGTAAGTGCTTGAGTAGTGAAGAATGCCAGTGAAAGTGTGCGGCCTCCCTATGCCAAATTTCATTTCAGTTAGAACTCAGTTTACTGTACAAGAGTTAAAACTCTACATGAATTAAAAATTACGCTTTTCCCAAGGGAGCCTGGAAAATGATACAATTCAGTCTGGCTGGTATCTTTTCACTCAGTATTTCTCTATAGCTCAGTATTAAACCCGGTAACAAAAGTCAATCTAAATGGTGTTCTTAAAAACTGCTGTTAAAGTCAGAACTTGAGAGCTAACTTTGGCTCTCTAGAGGAGCAGAAGTTCATGCAGTTCCCCAAAACTTCCCATCACAGAGGAGCAGTGTTTATCTGGCTTTGAAGGTATTATCCAAATTCTTTTTAAGACCAGTTCTAATAATCTGAAATGATGGTAACCTAAGAAATGCCATTCATAAGAACACTGTAACTTTAATTGAACTGTTTCCAAGAAAACTGTGGTTTAGAAAAATGAATATTGAAAATACCATTTTCAGCTTTAATAAAATTTTAATTTTAGCCACTTTTGCAACCTGTGTCTGGCACTCCATATAGTGTTACTGTCTAAAATTAGAGGTGCCGGAGGTCCAGATTTTGGTATTCTTGGCCTTTCAGCAGCATTTTTTTCTGAATTTCAAGAATTTAGACTCCCAAATTGAGAAATCATTTAGTTTGTTACTTATCCTTCCCTGTTATGCTCTCTTGTAGATTGGTTTAATCTTTGTTGTTGGAGGGGCAGAGGTTGACTTTTTGGGGTGGGTTTGGGGGATTTTTGTTTTTTGCTTGTGTTCTTTCGGGGTTTTTGCAATTCCTGTCTGTTGTATTACTACAGTATCCTAGGGATGTAAATGCCTCCTGCTATCTGGAAGGAACATGCAAGAGTTGACCTATGGCCAGCTCATCAAAACAGCCCCTTTCACTGTTTGCAGGCTAGAGAAAGGGGAGTCAGAAATTACTACTCTGCCCCTAATATCCACTGATGGCACTTAGTAGAAAACAGCAGACAACCCTTATCTGGAGATTCTGATTTCTATTTTAATTTTAGTCCTTTTATAACCAGGAAGTTTTCCAGATTCCCTTTCTACAGTTAAGTTTCTTTAAAGAAAAAGTGAACAAAGCAGATGTTTGAAATATTCTTGACTTCATCTGGTGGAAGTGCTGAGAATTTAACCCACCTTGCTGACATTGAAGAGATTTGGAAAGTAAATTCTTTAGTTGTAGTAAGTAGAATAGTAATCTTCCCTAGTTGTAGTAAAGATATGTTGTTTAATAATGTGAAGAATCTTATGTAGGACAGTTTCAGAATCATTTTGATAACCAAGTTAATCTGTTAATAGAAAGTGTTGATGTACTTTGGCTAAATGCGCAAGCCTAAAATAAATCTCAGTGAAAAATTTTCAGCAATTTGTGTTCCTCCTATTTTAGGTGGAGGTGTTTTGGCTCACACAATATTAGGAGTGGCTTGGAATGAGATTACAGGGCACATAAAATACTTGATTCTAGACCCACATTACACTGGAGGAGAAGATTTGCATGTTATCTTGGAAAAGGTGAGGCTCGGTGCACACACACACATATATATATACACACACATATGTGTATACGTATATTTTGGCATTAAACAAATAATACACAGCCAAATACAAATTGGCTGTTCTACGGCTTCTCCATTCCTTGCAAGGGAAGTGCTGATCCCAGTTAACCTGCATATATGCTGCTACTTGCTAGTTTCTGAAACTGTATCTTTGGGGAAGACATATTGGGTCAGCAACTACATAAAGTTACTATAGTACAAAGCAATGTTCTTTACTTTCTCCGACTTAAACCATCTCCCCTTTTACCCAGTAATATATATAATAAATGTGTTTGGTATTTTGAATGGAACAGAAAAATCTGTTTAGTGTGTCTAATGCTGTTACTGAAGCAGAAAAGATAACCATTTATTTAAAACTTTTATATTTAATGCAACAGTAGGCATTCTCAGATCAGGCCTTAAACTAAGTTTAAAGAACAGGTACTGAGCTGTTTTGAAAATCTGGGAAAACACTAAAGAACTGAAGGGTGTGTAATGTTATTTCCATATTTAAAGCTATTAAAAGGGATGACATGGCACATTACAATACTGTAAACATAGTGTCAGAAACATAAACTGTGAAAGTGGCTAAATCATCTTGTTGGTGTAAGTAATCCATTTCTGTTCTTCATGTTAAGTTGCAAATACCAACTTTTATTTCATATCCTTATTTGATACCCTTGGGTTGGGCGCAACTAAAAAAGCTGTTGAAGAGCCCTGTAAAAGGTCAAAGCTTGACATGAATCCAGAAAGAAACAATTTCCAACGAACGTGTAGAACCAAAGGCTGTTACAGCAATGAGGTGTTCACAAATGGTCCCAGAGGATAAAATAGAACTCCCTCATCTAAAGTGGCAGGGGAGAGGAGGAATGGAGGTGGACTGTAAGTTTTGTAGCTCTCTTTTTTTCAAAAACACCTTGTAGAATGATGTGGTACTCTGCAAACTTTAAGAGCTTTGTTAGACTGTTTTTCTGCTAAATCGTGATTAACAGCTCTGATATTAAGAGCTCTGGCTCTGAAATACCATTACCAAAGCTAGCAAGGATTTGTCAAGACAAGAGAAATGGAAACTGTGAGTGTGATAGAGTTTCAGAACAATAGTAGTCTCTCTGGAGCAGCAGAAGGTAGTGGGAAGGGGGGAAAGATGCTACTTTTTAGGAACTGAGCTGGGGTGGGGAGGGAGGAAGGGGGAGAGAGAGGCTCTGTAAAGTGTTTTCCATTAATGTGTTTCCAAGCTTGTAGAGAACTTTCTAAAAATTGTGTGTCACTGCATTCTATAGAATTCATACAGTTTAGATTAAAATTAGTAAAATAAAGTAGATCCAATAGTAGTAGATAGGAAAAACAGAATTCGTAGTGTTTAAATTGACTATCTTGCTTTTTCTTGGACAGGGCTGGTGTGGATGGAAGGGCCCGGAGTTTTGGAACAAGGAGGCGTATTATAATCTGTGCCTACCTCAACGACCAAAAACTATTTAAATTCCACTCTTAAGCTGGAACATGCTAAGCCAGAATACTAGGTGATCTAGATAAAACTGTCTTGTTTATCAAAATAATGCTTTAATTCAATCGAAACCTGTTGAAATAGAAATGTTGCTTGAGTAATTTAAATTAAGAATTATTTTTTTAAATGAAACCTCTAAAAATAAATGTTATACACTCATTAGGTAACTAATACTCTTTTGGCTAGGACAACTTTGTGTTTATATAGCATTGTTTGTTATGCTAAAATCTTTACAGATTAAATGTCCAATCCTTTTATTTTTTGGAATTCTTTCTTGCCAGAAACCTTTCAGGTTCTGTATAGCCAGCTGTCTAGTGTGCTATGAATCTGTTCAAAGGTAGTGTGTGCTGCTGGTGCTGTCAATAACAGCATTTTAGAAGAGGAGTGGGAGAAACAATGGCTATATGTACTGAATTTTATAAACACTATGAGAGAATTAATTGTTACATGCTCATTTATTTACAGCTGTATGAATACAATACAACTATTCTAGGGGGGGGAAAAAACCACAACCCAGTAGTCTTCTGTAAGAAGTAAAAATAAATGAGCTTTCCTCCTTCTCAGAAGGAGATGATGTACCAGCATCCACCTGGCTGCTTAATGCACAGTCCAGTCATGTTTCTTCAGCCTTTGCCTTCCCCTTGATTTCATTTTGGGATTACAAGGTGTTTTGTTTGTCAGCTAGGAGACAAGATCTGTTGTATGAACAAACAAGAATAAGTCTGTATCTAATGCCATCAAAACATTAGGATACAGGTGTGGTGGTGTAAAAGATGCTGCCTGTGAGCTACTCCATCAGTACATCAGTAAAAGTACCTCGGCTTTCTTCTCCCCCCGCTCCCCCATGTTAAATATACTATCCATTTGTGACAAGACCATAACCTTAAATACCTATGCAAGTTGATCTTTACTAGGAGGCTTCTAAATCCAACTGTTATCTAACACCAGATTTGCTTTAATGCCAAAAGCATTAAAAAAAAGAAAAATATTCTGGATTGTAATAAGCCAGTGGTTATTACACACCATCCGATCTTCTCCTCTTCTTGCTTACAGCTCTGCTAGTTTCACTTTCTTGCTTCTGTGCAGCTGGATCCTCTCTCGGCCAGCCACGTTTGTCACCGAGTGAGTAGCCAGACTGTCCTCTCAGGTTCATCCTCTGAGTGTGCTGAATTGTTGTGAGGAACTTGGCACATTCCAGAAAACCGTAAGCCATTGCAAGGTCTGCTGCTGTTTGTCCACTGTTGTTGCACAAGCTGAAACACAGAATTAATAATAACCATTCCATTAAATTGGAATATACGTTATGAGCAAGCACTGATCAAGATTAATTAAGTGCTAACTTTAGGCAGAAGTATAAAAATAAGTACAGAGAATGAATAGCAGGAAGGCATGTCAACAATAGCATGGGGCTCTACTCATACAGAGGGCTGCTATTCAATGCAACAAGGAAGAATTATTTTAAAATAAATTTGTCACCAGATAATGACTGGCTTAGCGTATCAGAAAGGCAAGGGGAAGGTGAGCATAGCATTAGTCAGAATGGAAAACTAACAAGGAGAACTTAGGATCAGGAATATTCTCTTAGCAGTTACTACAGAGGTTTTTAACATGGAACTAAACAATAGCGTATGCTCTATGCTACTTTGGTGTTTATGTCTGTGGCAGTTTTTAATACTGCTTGTATGACTGTAGTCATGCTACGTTTACAGTCTTGGCATGCACACTCTGAATGAGAAAAAGGGCTGTGTAAAAACACATATCCTTTGACATTGTTACTGAAATGATTGCCTGTATCTCAACTTACTCAATTTTGGCATCACCGGCAACAAGAAGAGCAAGACATTCCAAACTCCCAACTTTTGCTGCTTTATGAATCGGGGCTTCTCCAAGGCAATCCTAAAAACACAATGTACATAGAGCAGTCATTTGAAGAAAGGGGAATAGGATGAAGCTATCATCTTCTCCAACATGACTGTTAATGGAGTGTTACTCTGTATACCAGTTTGTTGTGAGCTGAGATTAAAGGAATATAGCTAGTAAACCATACTCAGTAACTGCCATTAAATGTTCAGTATATTCATCACAGCAAAGTAGAAATACTGTCCTTTGCAATGCTCATTCTTTAACCTTTACCTTCTAAAAGATTATTTACCCAGAATAAACTCTGTATGCTGATTGACAGCATCTTTCAGCACTGTTCAGGGGTTGCTGTGACAAACGGCTTGCTGCTACCAGCTCAGAGGTATAAGCAAATAAAACTTTGCAACGAAAGGAAGAATCCTTATGTTTACTGGAAGTAGGGGCAGAAATTCAGAGGAAAAAGGAATACTCATTTGTGTAAAAGAATTAAGTTCTTTTGACATCTGCATGCAGCGCTGTAAGTGTGAAAATTGCATTATATGTAACAAATGAAATAGCTGGTGCGATATAGACAGGATTTCTGGTTCATGCTAGAATAAGGTTACTCTAAGCAACCCCAGATACCTCATGCAATACAACTGTATATATGAAACCTCTCTTAGATTAAAAAAAAAAAAGTAAATAATATAAATTGGATTTACTGACATGCCAGATTAGAAGTGAGAGAAACAGATTTCTACCTGTTGGTTCAAATTTGCTCCTGTCTGCAGTTGCCAAAGCAGGAAAAAAGCTTCACCGCCACAAGCAGCCAAGTGAGCAGGAGACTGACCAAAGGCATCTGCAGGTGCGTTCACACTGGTTCCTGCCTCAAACAGATTGCTGAAGCTACCAGCCTAAAATAAACAAGATACAAAAAAAAAACCCACACAATGTCACTGCCAGTCTAAGCCACGCAAGTCTTAAGAACACCACATTGTAGCAGAAAACATCCCCCTCACAAGTCACCGGACCTTTATGTTTCTTGAGAATGTCCCTTAGCCATCCAAGCATGACTTTTTTGGCTTTTAATCTCTTAGCCAGAAATACCGATGGACATCGGCAGTGCCCCAACACTACGGCAACCCCAGGCAAACCAGTCCGTACAGCTCCGCGGCCGGGCCCCCCTGTTAAGGCAGAAACAACGGACCCACCCTCCCCAGACCTCACCTCGGAACTGCAATCCAGCATCATCACCATCGCCTCCCTTTGCTGAGC